TATGCCAACATTTAAAGTGCAAGGGCAAATTTATCACCATGCTGGATCACTACTACCCTTGCCAAATGCTGATCACAAATATCTTCAGATATATTTTATGGGAAATACTGACGAACAAATCAACAGACGGTGTCAACTGAATATGAGTACTAAACGAGAGATTGTCGCTGAATTACAAAATTTGTTTGAACAACATAATGAATTAATTAAATTATTTAAAACCGCCATTGAACAAATGCCATCTGACGATTATAAAGTAATAATAAAAGCAGATAAAACACCCATTGGTCAACATCGAAGACAATTCAACGCACCAACGATTGATAAAGTGGCAATTGTCATAGTTGGTGAAGAATTTACTTCTCGCGACATAATTCTTTATCGTAGAAATGGTGAAGTCCAGAAAGTATCAGAAACGCATCGTTCATATTATGCATTACAATATCCCATTCTATTTTGGCAAGGAGAGGATGGATATCATTTTAATATTAATGTGAGAAATCCTACAAGTAATGTGGACATTAACAAAAAGGTCAGTGCTATGCATTATTATGCATATCGAATGATGATTCGTGAGAATACTGATAATCATATATTGAAATGCAGACAATTATTTTATTTTATTATTTTATTATTAACTGGACAATCGCCATCAGATCGTCATGATGTTTCTGCACGTGTATTTAAACAAAAGTTAGAATCTTTAATGGATTTTATTGTCAAGCACCATGTATTTGGGGAGACGCGCTGTTGGATGTATTCCATTGAATGGCAAAAAAGAGGTTTACCACATGCGCATATTTTAATATGTATGATGGAAAAGATAACACCTAACAGAATTGATGAAATCATCTCTGCAGAAATACCAGACATTGAAATTGATAAAGATTTGCACGATATTGTCTCAAAAAATATGATTCATGGTCCATGTGGCTCACTAAATAATAATTCACCATGCATGTCAGATGGAAAGTGCACAGAGCGGTATCCTAGAGACTTACTTACTGAAACTATTACAGGCAATGATGGATATCCACTCTATCGACGACGATCTACCGAAGATGGTGGAAAATCCACTAAACTAAAAGTACTCGACAATACTATTGATGCTGATAATCGTTGGGTAGTACCACATTCTCCATTATTACTAAAAACGTATAACGCGCACATAAATGCTGAGTACTGCAATTCAGTGAAAGCTATAAGATATATTTGCAAATATGTGAACAAAGGAAGCGATATGGCAGTGTATGCACTGGAAAATACAACTGCTTCTAACGATGAAGTCACCCAATATCAACTGGGACGCTACATAAGTAGCAATGAGGCTGTATGGCTTATTTTATCATTTTCCATTCATGAGCGATGTCCAACGGTTGTTCATTTAGCAGTACATCTTGAAAATGGACAACGTGTGTATTTTACATCAGAAAATGTACGTGCAAGAGCAATGTCACCACCACCAACAACATTAACTGAATTTTTCACATTATGTAGAAATGATACCTTTGCAAGGACACTACTGTACTCTGAAGTACCAATTTATTTTACGTGAAATAAATCAACAAGAAAATTTCAGCGTAAGCAAGGTAGAGCAGTACAGGGTCATCTAATTTTATATTCCACAGATGCATTGGGTCGTCTGTACACTGTACATCCAAATAACGCAGAATGCTTTTACCTGAGATTATTATTAATCAATGTTCGTGGACTAACATCTTTCCAAGAATTAAAAACAGTCAATGGCCATGTGTGTGCTGCTTTTCGTGAGGCTTTCCAGAAATTAAGTCTCTTAGAAAACGATGCTCATTGGGATATTTCACTCGCTGATGCTTCTAATACAGCTCAACCACCACAGATACGCACACTATTTTCCACTATACTAACGACATGTTTTCCGGCTAATCCAAAGGATCTTTGGGAAAAATATAAAGACTATATGAGTGAAGACATTTTACATCGCATGCGTAGAATAAATGCTAATCCCAACATTCAAATCACATCAAATAAATAAAATGAAGCATTGATTTTAATTGAGAATGTATGTTTGACAGTAGCCAACAAATCATTGACAGAATTGGGAATGATTGCTCCAAATAGATCTAGTAATGACATTTTCGATCGTGATATACAATGAGAAACGCACTTCGATGTTAATGAATTACAAACATTTGTTCGAATTAATCTGCCGAAATTGGTATTAGAACAACGAACAGCATATGACACAATTATAAATGCAATATCTAACAAGAGTTGTGGCTTATATTTCTTAGATGCACCTGGAGGTACTGGCAAAACTTTTCTTATTTCAATTATTCTGGCAACTATAAGATCACAAAATAATATTGCACTTGCTATTGCATCATCTGGTATTGCAGCAACTCTTTTGGACGGTGGTCGAACAGCACATTCAGCATTGAAATTGCCATTAAATGTGCAGGTAATTGAAACTCCAATATGTAATATTAGCAAAGATTCTGGGATGGGAAAAGTACTAAGATCATGTCAGCTTATAATATGGGATGAATGCACCATGGCACACAGGAAATCATTGGAAGCACTCAATCGCACATTAAAAGATTTCAGAGGAAATGAGCAGCTCTTTGGTGGAGCACTCATTTTGCTAGCTGGTGATTTTAGACAAACTCTACCAGTTATACCCCGTTCAACACCAGCAGATGAATTGAATGCATGTCTCAAATCATCAGTATTATGGCGGTATGTGAAGAAAATATCTTTAAAGACCGATATGCGTATTCAATTATAACAAGATGAATCTTCTGAACGATTTGCAAAACAATTGCTAGATATTGGGAATGGTAAAATGGAAATGGACCAATCCACACACTGTATTATATTACCAGAAAACTTTTGTCACATTGTAAAATCCACTGATGAATTGATTGCAAAAGTTTTCCAAATTTATCACAGAATTATAAAAATAATCAATGGGTTAGTGAGCGTGCTATATTGGCAGCCAAAAACATTGATGTGAATTCAATATATGTAGGTAATCATATATAGGTTTCATATCTAGGTAATTGAATATAGGCCATTTCGCTACTATCAGCATATCAGCAAAATATCCTTACATTAAACTACAATAATTGTATATTTTGAAAAAAAAAGTTCTGTGTTTTTGTGGAAAATAATGATGTTTAAAAATAAAACATTGACGAATGAGACGGAACTAATAGGGCTGGCGAGCAAAGAACGTAGCCTCCTAGTTAATATCAAATAAACATTAAAAATATCACACAAATTTATACGAAAATGGATGTAACAAATATTTTTACGTTTTTAGTAATTAAAATTGTTTTGTGAATGTTGGCCCTCCCCGAAAAAAGTTAACATTCACCCCATTTTGGACTTTAATGAAAACAAAGTCTATATTTCATCCAATTGAAAGTCTTATAAATCGTATGTGTATGTTTCAGTATTGNTAGGATCCATAATCACAGAGGAGGATTTCATGGGCAATACTGCACCATGCAAGTTACAGTGGCGGTAAATTTAAGGGAATTAGTAAACTTTTTGAATTGTAGGATCAAATTGATTAGATGTATAAGTCAAAAATGATGCAAAACTAAACTACATTATTGTTCAATTTAATTCTTCTTAAAATTTGCTACACGAGACTCTAGTGCACTTTTAAAGAGAACACAATTCCATAAAAACGAGGCAAAATTGAATAATATTGTTGTTGAATTCAAATCTTCTTAAAATTTGCTGCACGAAACCCTTGTAAACATTTAGCGAGAACACAATTCAATTTAAGGCCTAATTAAGTTTACAAAAATTTTTTGTAGCAATATGGTTCAACGTTGTAGCACATTTTTCCAATTATATTATCTAAAATGTTCCAAGTGCAAGGATTTTCCTTTTATCTGAAGTATATTTTGTTTCATGGTGGGAATAAAAAGCTAAACCCCATAAAAAAGTTTTGTAACAGTTTTGCAGAAAGTTTTCCTCGTTAACATCATTGCATTCATGTTTTCAAAAATGCAAATAAAACAACTTCATATTTGCGATTTCTATATTTAAAAACACTATTGTGATTATATTAAAGAATACCGTTTTTAATCAAAATAAATAAATAAATTTATAAAACAAAATAAAGAAAAAAAAGAACCTGATTTAGAGATAATTTAGAAGGACATATTTGATTATGTATCAAAGATTCTAGCTAAAAGGGCTTTTTAAAGGTGCAGGTTGATGCAAAAAATAAAGTGCAGGTTGATACTAAAAATAAGGTGCAAGTTAATGCGAAAAATAAGGTGCAGGTTGATGCAAAAAGTAAACTTATAAGTAAATATAAGAAACTATAAGTAAACATAATAATTATTTCAATTTGTAGTTTACTCATTTAAGGTGAAAATTCATTAAAAATAATTTTTTTTATAATTCCTTTTGGAAGTATGAAAATAAGGAAAGTATAAATTCAAACTTATAAGTACGAAAATGTGATGGAGTTTTTTTTCCTATAAAGGAGTATGGATTAAAGTAGTTTTCGTAAACAATAAATGTCTTTGTCTTAAAACAGATATTTCATATTTGTATACAAGATAAGTTCTTGAATTTTTAAACGAATTATTTACAAATTTAACAGAAATTTTCCAAGAAATTTACATTTCGCAGAAAATTTTATTTCTACACTATTTGAAATGCAGGAACATGTTGATTAGTAATATAATACAAAAACGATGCAAAATTGAACCATATTATAGTTTAATTTATTTCTTCTTAATTATTCTTATTCAATTTAATTTCTCCGCTTCACGAAACTCTAGTACACATTTACCGAAAACACAACACGATTTAATTCCTAATTAGCATTGCAAAAAATTTTTGTAGCAATAAGGTTCAACGATGTAGCACATTTTTCCCATTATAGTATCTAAAATGTTCCAAGTATTAGGATTTTTTGTTATCAGAGGAATATTTTGTTTCATTGTAGTAACAGAAGATGAATTATCATACAAAAACAAATTTCGTGCGATAAGGTATTTTGATTAGGCAGACAGTTTTTCTCGATAAAATCTTTTGGTTATGAAATAAAAAATAAAAAAAACCCTTCATTTTAGCCATTTTTGTAATGAAAAATACGAACAAACTATTTTGGCATTTTAAAAGTACTGTTTAAAAAAATCAAATGAGGACAAAAAAAAATCTTGTTTTGTGATAATGCGTAAGTATACATTTGATAAAGTATTTCATTTTACTTTAAATATCAAAGACCATAGCCAAAAGTGGTTTCTAAACGCTACAAAGTTTAGGTTGATGTGAAAATTATAAGTAAACAAAGTCACATTTTAAAACTTTCAATTTGTAGTTTACTTTTTAGAGAAGACAATTCACAAAAAAATGTCATATTTTTTTTCTTCATAAGACTTTTTGGAAAAATACACACAAGGAAAGTATAAATTGAAACTCATAAATACAAGAATGTGACGGTGTTTTTTCTTTTTCTTATAAAGTAGTATGGATTAAAATTACTTTCGTAAACTATAGATGACGTTATCTTAAGAAAGTTTTTTCATGATTGCATGCAAGATTAGTAGTCGAATTTTTAAACGAATTTCTTACAAATTTATCAGAAATTTTCCGCAAAATGTCCATTTTATGGAAAATTTTATTTACTTCGCAAATTTATATGATAAAGGGTGAACTTAATTTAATTTTAATTTTTTTAAACAATCGTGGGGCTGGTTAAACTGACATCTAAAATATGCGAGAGAAAACAACCCTAGCCATCTTGATTAATTTTACCAAAAGAAGTAATAACCTTTCAAAAATATAATTTGTTTAATTTACAAAATTATAAAGAGTTATCTTGAAATGAGTAATCGCCTATTACGCCATGTTACATATACATCAACATGTTACAGGACCTGTTATTTACTTTATTTATTATTATTTCTTTAAAAAGTGTTTTTCAAAACTAAAAATCAAACTACATGCATCCATGCTCCAACTCAGCAATCTTGTTGCTGTTGTTTCTAATGGCACTTGGTCAAGCCGAGTTCACCAGCGAGTGGTCTTTTACTTACGAATTAGTCACGAAGATGCGTTTTTAGTTAGACAGGAGTGCACAGCAAGGGTGTAAGTACATCTTAGTTCAGAAACCCACGGATAGATGGCAGTACCTATCATTCCAAAGGTCACTTCCTTAATATAGACATAGATATAAACGGAAAATAAATTTTCTCCAGATTCCTGTACTTATGGTACTGCTCAGTGAATGACCATAGGTACGTCAAATCTGAGGTACCGTCAAATCTACGGTACCTCAGATTTGACGAGCGCGTATATATATCACCGAGTATAAACATGCTAATCAATCTGCTATTATGGCCCGGTACTGTCCTTTGTCTATTTCATTACTTTTTCTAGTCTTGACAGTAGAATAATGCTTCTCTTTCCTACACACGGTGTATTCTAAGATACCTGACATACCTAATTAAAATCCCTGATAATATATGCATGCATTTTCATTCCAGGAGTATCTCCCAATTTCAATAGCTGTGTGTTTACCTGACACGTGTAAACCATATGAATTCGTAGATATATTTAATAATTCAAGTAAGTATTTTTTATGTATCTTGTAAACATTTGAAGTTTACTAATTTCTTCTCGAGTTCGCTAAAATAGTTCAGTTTTACAGTTTGTTTTTTAAAAAGAAAATCGTTAAAGTTTAAATTAGTAGAATATTCCCGATTTGTCATTTAAGATTGATTGAGAATTATCCTCCAGTTTTTATTGCAGATTAGTTAAATGAACAGACAGCGTTTCAAACTTTTTTTTTCAGGTTTCATTCCACCATTAAATAAATCTGGTATCGGTTTTAATGTGACTGCGTTAACTTGTAAAGCTAAATCATTAGAATTAAGTACTGGAGGAATTGTGACATTGTAAGTATAATATATTTTTTATAAAATATTTTCTTTATCTTTTATACAGCAATTAGGGTTTTGTACTTCATTTTTATTCATGTTATCATTGCAATTTCTGTTGCGTTTTTGAATTTTCAAAAGACTTTTCACATATGTATCTCTTTCACCTATGCTCTTTCACTTATGCGCTTTTTCGTGTTGATTCCTTAGGCTGGCGTATAAGTGACAGTTTACTGTAACTTTAATTTTTTTAAAAATATCTGAACGATGGACGCGGGAATGTTCTAGTTTCAAAAACTATCGTAATGGAAATTATCAACATTAAGAGCATAGCATTTGTGAGAGGACCGTTTAAACAAGACCATACGGGAAAACAAAAGATGCTGCAACGATGGATCGAGGTTTGACTGTATATGCATTGTATAATATTATTCATGGCAAATATTTTTATAACGATATTATTGTATCTTCCAGATGTATAATGTCTGTATTCTTCCTTCTGGTATTCATGGGGAGTTCTATTACTGCCTTCAAATATTTCGCTCATTCAAATGCTTCGAAAGATGAATGTAAAAGTTCTGTTAATGAGGGAAAAGTTTCTGAGTATTTCGTCGGCAGGAGTTTGGAAGAGCTATTGGTAATTAATGAAGGTTCACCAACAAAATTAAAAGGTTAAATATTCCATTGTTGCAATTTTTTCTCAATTATATACAGGGTGTCCCAAAAGGTCGTTTACAAACTTAACATGCTGGTCTGTCATATCATGATGAACAAGATTTACATAGGAACTTGTGTCCGAAAATTAAAACTGAGACCGCTTGAGGGCGATAAGTGCAGGTTTGGATGAGGAGAAAAAAAATGATATCGATAGCGGTATTAATATGATTTTTATTACAAAACATCATTACATCACAGCAAATGCTCAAAATTCCTTCCATTCGCCACAATGCACGTTTCACAGCGTCGGCGCATGGATTCACGAACCCGTTCAAATTGGCCGGGAGTGTCACGGAAACGTGCTGCCGCTTCCGCGATCCTGGCGATAACATCCATGTCCGATGTTACAGGTGTCTCGCACACTATGGACTTCATGTGTCCCCACAGGTAGAAATCCAGGGGAGTCAGGTCGGGGGATCGCGGCGGCCATGGGACAGGTCCACCTCTACCGATCCAGCGATTAGGATAAGTCCTATCGAGGTATTCTCGAACAACGAAGCTAAAGTGGGCAGGCGCTCCATCATGCTGAAACCAGATGTTTCGGCGTGTAGCGGCTGGAACGTCACCCATCAGATCAGGCAAAAACTTTTTCTAAAAAAATGCGATAGGTATTTCCGTCGAGGCGTTCATGTAGAAGGTAAGGGCCAATCAACATGTCGACGATAATATCAGCCCAAACGTTTACGCTGAAACGTTGTTGATGTGCATGGGCACGTGTACATCTTGGGTTTTCATGCGCCCATACGTGCATGTTGTGCAGGTTCACGACACCATCCCGTGTAAAGCAGGATTCATCAGAAAACAAAATCCATGATGGAAAATCTGGCTGTGCGACCCGCTGTTGCAAATACCAGCGTGAGAATGCAATGCGTTTGGGATAATCGTCAGCGCACAATGCCTGTACTTTTTGGAAGTGGTAAGGGTGTTGCATGTCATCGTGCAGTATGCGCATTATGGTGGAACGAGCTACACCCAAGACACGTTCGCCTTCTCGGAGACTTCTTTGCGGGTTGATGGCATACTCCTGTAGCACGGTTTCCTCTACGACAGGTGTGCGTGTAGCACGTTCTCGACCGATGTGGCTACGTGCTACGAAAGCACCTGATTCACATAATCTGCGGTGCAATCGTCCAAACAAAACATGACTTGGCTGACGTCTGTTTGGGAAGCGCTCAAGGTACGTCCGTGCCGCGGCTCGTCCATTTCCATCAGCGGCGCCGTATACGTAATGCATGTCGGCCATTTCTGCGTTACTAAACTCATTCATCCTTCTCCTTCAACGTCCACGCCTGAAATGATTGTTTTTCCCACTCTCCCGTTTTCGTGCAATTATCGCCCTCTAGCGGTCGCAGTTTTAATTTTCGGTCACAAGTTCCTATGTAAATCTTGTTCATCATGATATGACAGACCAGCATGTTAAGTTTGTAAACGACCTTTTGGGACACCCTGTATATAAAAAACTATTTAAATCATATTCAGTTGTTTTCAGGAATATAAGGAAAGTCAATATCTATAAATTTTATATAACAGTGTTTGTTAATCTTTTAAAATTCTGGCTTTAAATAATGGAAGATAATTATACTTTTTCTTAGAAATATAGAACTCAGAAGTGAGTATAAGCAATGAATTATTTTTAAGAAAATACAATAATATATTTTTAAGAAAAATTCAACAGTTAAAATTAACTAACTTTTTTAGTTATAATTAATCATAAATTTTTTTAAAATAGAAAAATTTTAATTTTTAGCATTTTTTTCATCGAAATTTCACTCATATATTTCAAAACGCTTTCAGAAAAAGAATTATGCAGACTTTAATGAGTGGAAACATTTTTGGACTTATTAAATTTATTGTATTACCCTGAAACACAGATTTATTAGTTTTTTTTGTAGTAGTTTCTTATAGCTATTTTTATATTTTGTGTCTTTAAATGTTGAACATTTTCTTCTTTAGCGTTCATCGACATGTGTGATCCTGTCTTAAACTGCTTTTGCATCTTTACGAATGGATCTAAGTTATTCAACACTGATTCCACAGAGGGTCAACTCTTGTGCCTTCACGGTATCCGATTTCTAAGTTTGACATGGGTCATTGTGTGCCATGTGTATATGTCACCTATTGCCCAAATTCGTAAGTAAAATTCAAGCGCATATTTTTATTCTTAGTCAACAAAATACTCATAAATTTATTTCTTGCTTAAATTATAAAAGAAGTTAAATAATTTAAGTGTATTTTGAATATTTTCTTAAAAGGAAACTATTGGGAGTCTCAAAGCAAATCTGGTATTTTCCCAATATGCGAACCACCTTACTTAACTGTGTAGTTACTTTACTGATGGATAGGTCACGCCACTAAAATTCCAGTCTATTGCCTTTTCCGTAGAACATAATGTTTTAATAACTACTCAGCTGATTAGTCTGAGTTGTTTAAGGCTTAAAATTAATAATAATATAATGTAAGTGAAAAGGGAAAAATTGAGGTGATCGTGGAGACCAAGTCACCTAAATAAAATCACAGTATATGACGTTAAAAATATATAAAAATATATCATAAAATGTTTTTTTTTTCATGACTTTATCATGTTTAAAGTCATGTTTACTCTCTTTCAATCATGAGATTATCATTCGGTGAGGTCAAAGGCACTAAGAACGGGGATCATCTTTTGTTGGCAAGACAGTAGTAATATTTTATTAGAGTTAAAAGAAATAAAAATGTAATAATGTTATTTTAAACAATTTAGGAGGCGCCATCTATCGATTCATGCGGTAACGACACAGTTAAGAAAGGTACCTCACATATTTCGACGGCACCAAAAATCTCTTCTTGTTTACCTTTCTAATCATTAAGATTGTTAAGATCATATCTTGATTGCCAGAAAGTAACAATATTTTATTCGAATTAAAGTAAATGCAGAAATGTTATGTGCATTTATTTACAAAAATTAATAGCGGTTATATCGAGGTGAAGATAAGGAGAGGCTAGTGTTAGAAGTATTAAGAAAAATTAACATTAAAATTGAAAAACTGCTTATAATTTACAGATAAAACGCTTGTTCAAAATTAGAGGTTATTTTTTATAAAAATTTGATTTAAACAACAACATTGTGCAGCTTTTATGTACATTGGTTTTATACATTGCTTACAGGCAAAATAACAGTTTATTTGAGTTGATTTTTGATTTTTTTTTAGAAAGTTGGCTCAAATTTAAGAAATTTTTCACCTACAAATCATTAAAATCTTTCCAAAGGCAATAAAATAAAATCAGAATAATGTTAAAAAGTTATTGCAATTGATGTATATAATAAATTATTTATGTAGCGGGATTTTCCCTATCTTTTGTTTTACATTAAAGGATCTACGGAAGGTCTCCTACCACTCATTGATAATTTCCCTTTCCAAGCCATACTCAATGGATGGTATTCGGTTGATTCATTTTTCGTGCTCAGGTGAGTCAACAATTTAATTAATTTTTATTATACAGGGTGTTCTGTTAATAGCACCCTTAATGCATATTTTTAGAATCTTTTAAAAAAATATACACGTAAGTATACATAATGTAGGATTGAACACAGAAAGTTAGAATATAAGGGGGAACAAATATAATCGTGGATGTGCTGTGCGCAAAAAAGAGGAAAAAAAGGAACACCCTGAATAAATTTTGATTGAATGATCGGATTTTCATGCACATGGACTCGATTTCAATGGTTCAACGCCTGACTTGAAATATGATAATTAGTAGCGCAGAAGATATTTCAAGTTATGAAATCAGATGCAAAAACGTACTTTCTCCGAATATATATGCCTTTTTTTCTGACGGATTCCTGACCCTAAGATATTGGGGATGGCCGGAATCTGGTTAATTAGCATATTTGATGTCAGGCCCTCGAACCACTAATATTGAGTCCTAGTAAGTGAAAATCCAATCATTAGGATCAAAACTTATTAAAGGTGTTCAATGTAAAAAATTTCAGATCAAAATACGGTTAAAAAATTAATTTCCTAGGTGCATCATAAGTGAAATTCATTTTACCGTGAAATCCATTTTCACAGTAAATTTTTTTTTACTATATATTTTGCTGTAATATTTATTTAGTTGCAATGATTTAGTGATTTTTAATAAATATCAATGTAAAAATTACGGTTTTTCAAGTATTTTCCTGACTTAAAGGTTACGGCAAAAATTGATTTTTCGGTAAAATGTACCAGTACTCTGAGTTCCGGTATTTTTTCTAGTAATTAAGTCAGGATTTTTTTACAGTTCTTTTTCTATGCACTGAACAATTATCTGAACCTGTTTGATTGTCGGAGAAAACAGAGATCAATTGAGAAAGAAAGAATTTAGAAATGCTTTTAAGTTTCAAATGGTAATCCGACAGAGTCTAGATATTTCGTTCATCCACTGTTCATCTACTATACTGATTTTTCAGATTTCGATATAGTTTTAATTATTTCCTCGTTTGAATATTTACTTGCAACCTCAAACATCAAAACATTTTGTCTTCATTTTACACAAGGCTTCTAAAAATATATATTAAGAACGGCCTTCACACAACACTCTATTGGTAATGAATATTTATTCGAGTTCAACGATATTAGCTCCTATTTATTTTTGATTCAACTACAATTCGGTGATTCGTTTCTTATTATTTTACAGCGGTTTTTTGATGTCTTATCTATATTTTCAAGAATGTGCCAAAAAACAAGGGAAAACTCCGTGGCTTTATTTTTATGTCCATCGTTATTTGAGGTAAGTTTTAAGCATTATTATCAGAAAACGTTAATTAAGTTGAGAATTAATTGAATTTATGGATGCAATATTTCTTAATGCAGTCATTTATAGGTAAGCCACTTTTAATGCTTATCGGTTATTGGAAGAATGTAGTCAAGTGCACCAACATGTAGGGGGCAACGCCAGATTTCACTGCTTACTGGCTACCGATAATATTCACAAGTGTATCAAATACTACAATATCACCCCCTGATCTTTTACAACAATAATTAACATTGTGGGGAGAGGTAGTTATCTACAATGTCAACCTTCATCTACGAAGTGGTACCCCATCGTAGAATCGAGTTAACATGTCTTATATATTATTGAATTGTAGTTGTAATTTTTGTAGTGGTAGATACGCTACAGTACACATCACGTCCGAAGATCACCAATGTGGGGAGAGGTAGTTATCGACAATGTCAACCTTCATCTATGAAAACTTACCCCATCATAGAATCGAGTTAACATGTCTTATACAGTGAATTCGCGATAACTTGAATCTGATAGGACTGACGAAAAACTTCGACATATCGGAAGTTCGACTTACCGTTAGTTTCGGTTTTGGACTTTTAAAATATTGTCGGATTATTTAATTAATGCTTATTAATTACAAATCTTAGAAAACTTCTAAATTACAATATTTAAGATCATTTTTCTGACTAGCCTTTTACGATATGACTGTTTGAAGCACTTTATGATACCCTGGTCCATCGACTGCAACTTTGCAGTTGTGTTTGGCGGGACAAGTTTACTGCTTACAAATTAGGTAGATAACTATGCGTTGTGCATTTATCCATAAAAAGTATCACTTTTCCTTTTTTAGCGAAGAATTTCCGATCCAATTTTCTTACATAGTCTTCAAATAAAACTGATTTCATCCAAAACTTTTTATTAGACTTCTAATCCAAAGAATACGTTTTTACATTCTTGAAACATCGGGGATTTCGGTATTTTCCTCCAACTAGGACAGTCAAACGATCCTTGCTCATTTTACCCCCCGAGCAGTTTTCATCCTTAAACATAGTCTTATTTGGAAGAAAAATAAATCCATTTCATCAATATTGAAAACATCATTTTAACTGTATCCTTGAAGTAAATTTGGTAACGTTTCATTTAATCACTGTTCACATACTTCAAGAGGGACAGCTTTAGCTTCTCCATGAAGAGTGCGAAAGACATTGTGAGCGTGTTGCAAAGGAAGGGGCAAGATGTCAGCTCCTAGGTTTTTCTTTTTGCTTTAAAAGATTTAAAAATAGAGTTAAAGGGAGTAAAATTCGAGTAATCGAGAATAATTAACATGAAATTGAGGATAAAAGGGTCGGGACTTCATAAAAAAATCCAGTTATAGTAATATTCGAGTTATCGTACTTCGAGTTATAGCGAATTGACTGTATATTAGTGAATTGTAGTTGTAATTTTTGTAGTGGTAGATACGCTACAACATCAAATACGATAGTATCGCGATCATTATTGACAACATACAATATTATGAGAGCTGATAAGTTTTATTTGGGATAAATTTTATTTGAGACACTGGCTGATGATTGGCTAAACTTGACCTAGCAATCATGAAAAAGTGACGCAAAGTTTTGAAAACAGCATATTATTTGAAAAAGAAAGAGTATAATTTCCTGCGAAACACTGAACCTTCAAAAAACAACCCTAAAACTGTTTCAGCCAAATGCACATTTATTACATTTTTGCACATAACTCTTTTGGTAGATTTGAGTACTATTTTATTTGAATGATATTTATTTATCACTTAGGCTAACACCGGTGTATATGATTGTTCTGGCATTTTACGCAACTGTCATGCCAATAATAGGATCCGGACCGTTTTGGCAAGATTATAATGTTGATCCACACTGCCAGAAGGGATGGTGGTGGAACTTAATTTACATCAATAACTTTCGAAAACAAAGTGAACAGGTAGTATTGACTGTGTATTATTTACATTTAATTTATGCTTGATTTTTATCTTTACATAAAAGGAATACATTAAAAATTATTTTACTTTCATCCATAGATAATTTTTATCTGTGTAGTTATTTATTTGAAAACATAGTATTATTTTTATTAAGCCATATAGCTTTAAAAATATATTATCGGATTCCAATAAAAAGCGTTAAAAGCGGTATTAAAATTATATCGTTCACTGTTTTGTAGTCAAATAGCTATCGACAACTTTTTGCTACTCAATTTCTTTTTCTCGAAATTGGCGTTTTCAAACCTCGTTGAGCAGCTGACCCAATTTTATAGGTTTACGACTACTAATGTTCAACTCCTTAGCTTTGCAATTTTGAACCCGATTCAGAGGACAAGGGAACTCCTTGATCAAGTATTGGGAGAAATTTGCCTTTATGGACGAACTTTTAAAAGGAACTAACCCGAATTTGCGTTACAAGGAGTGGAAAACTACGAAAACCTGCAACGGTTAGCCTAAGGGCAAGGGGACTCTAACCCATGATCCGTCCATCACTGAGGATAGCTTACGTCAGTACTGTGGTTGTTGCGAGCCGGTAGCGGAATTCGTATCGATCAGCCATCGCTGGAATTCGAACCCGGTTCACCTCATTGGAAAGTGAACACTCTATCCTCTGAGCCACAGCGGCTGTGAAATCGGTATTAAAAAAATTAAAATAAGACAAATTAAAACGGTTGCGCACTAAATTATTTACTTCAGATTTTCGATTACTTATGCATTCAGTTTCAGAAAAGTGCGCAAGCCAAAAAATTGAACATAAAATTATTTTGTTCGTATTATTATTTCATATTATATATTTAAAAGAGAAATAATAGCAGAATAATGATGAAAATCATTATTCTTTATCCTCTGCTTTAAAAGTTAAAAATATTTAAATTATCAAAAACAAAAATTTTTTTTAATGTGAGAGGCATTAAATTTGCGATAAAATTTTTCGTAATTTTCTTTGATACAGCTATACAACAATAATATGGTTACATATGCTTAGAAATAAAAATTTTTAAAGAATTTCAAATATACAATAAAATGGAACGTATATAATTATGGATTCAATATTGAGTTTTTTTTATAAATATATTCGAATCATTCTTATTTAAAAATTGATAAGAAATAATAAATTCCCATTTAGACAATAGCTTTTAGTTTAAAACATTGTTAACAATCTACAGAATCTACACACAAGTCTCAAAGAATTCTATAAGAAACTTTTTTTTTGTAATGAGCGCGAAAAGATTTTCTCGAAATCAACGTTTTTTGAAAGTAATTTTAAAGTATGTAATTGCCAAGCAATAATAAAACAATTTCTTACACGCTGAAAAAACATAACAAAAGTTCAAATATAATCAATAAAAGGAAAAAAAATTGGAATTTTCATTGAAATTGCCTATTTTTTCACCTTGTCGAATGTTTTAAGTTTGAAAATTGGTTCCAAAGACATATTTTCACTGACCAAACATAACGTTTCTTCGGCTGATGAGGGTTCCTGAAACTTCAGATGGGTGTAGCCGCATCTGGAAAAGGATGCTACAATCAAAAGAAGGATTTCTCTTAGCGACACTTCATAATTTTCATATTCCTCAGAAATTCAGGAGCACGAATCCTTCATAATAATCAATATTCATTTTGACAAAGTATTTGGTGCCTAGTTTCATAAATTAAATGATTAATTTGCATTTTTTAAGTGGATTTTCAAACTATGAAACTATTCAATAATTTGATCAAAAGTTTTTCAAATTGTTACATTTTGTTTTCTTTAGATTAAGTGTACTTATTTATGTATCTGGGAGTAAACATACACATTGTATTTATTTATTGCATTGTATTCAATTACAGTTTATTTTTTTCAGTGTATGGGTTGGTCTTGGTATTTGGCGAACGATATGCAATTCTTTGCTATTAGCCCACTATTTCTTATAACACTCTGGAGGTAAATATGAATGCTTGTTTAAGTATGCATATTTATTTAAATATTCTTCATTTTTAATGCTTAGTTACATAATTTTTTTTGTACGGCTAATCCTTTAAAGTGATATCCATTTATAACGAAAAGAAAATAAGTAAATCATGGTTAGCTTATTGAAATTTTTAAATATTATTATAAATAGTGCAGTTTAATAATCTAAATATTAAAAGATTGTTTTCCTTCAGTCCCCACATAATGGTCTAATTTCTCCGTGTTCATGATTAAGACGCATCCCTAACTTCTCCGCATTCACTATCTTACTCTCTAAAAATTGCCGTAAGATTTGATGAATTACTCGTTAATTTATATAGCCAGCTTCTTCGTTGGAGAAAAAAGCTCATTATCCGGAATTGTAGCGAACTTCAGCAACATAAGTAGAATTAACCGTTAATTTACACGGTTATTGTATAAAAATTTCTAGCTCAGATCGTTGCTGCAAGCCTTTTTGATGATGTTTACAGTATCAAGCCACGGACGGAAAAGCCCTGGGTTCGAATCCAGTGGGTGTCGAAGAACATCATTCTCACACTCCCTCTACTTTAGAGACCACAGATAACGAACATGCAACTCTTCCACTCTTCTATAGATGACAGTACTACACTATTTTATCTCGTTCCACGATTCCCCTTGATTCAGAAAACAAATTGCCTAAGTGTCAAACAATGCCAAGGTACCAACTGAGGACTGTTAGTATATATTTTACTAAAGGAAAAAAAAACTTCATACACACTTGTATTTTTATGGTCGAGATAGCTATACGGGCATAAATTTATTATTATGGTCAGTGACCATAATCTAGAGGTTAAATTTTTTAAAAATGCCTTTCAGCATTATTTCTATCAGTTATGTTCATACATTCATAAGTTGACTCACTTATTAATATAAATAGCAATATAAATAGAATTGACGGTTAATTTATTCAGTTATTGTGTAAAGCTTTCTAGCTTAATTCGTTCCTGTAAACCTTTTCGATGATGTTCCCAGTATCAAGCCACGTACACGGAAGCCCCGAATTCAAGTTCAGTTGGTGTCAAAGAGCATCACTCTCGCACTTCCTTCTACTTTAGACAACACGAATAACTCTCCCACTCCTCCATAGATGGCAGTACTGCACTGCTTTGTCTCGTCCCATTATTCGCCTTGATTTGACAAACAAATCGCGCGGGTCTCAAACGATGCCAAGGCACCAACCGAGGACAGTGGGTATGTATTTTATGAGAGAAGAAAAACTTCATATACACATATATTTTTATGGTCAAGATAGCTTTACGGGCATACATTTATTATTATGGTCAGTGACTAGAATAATTTTTGTCAGTCAGTGACCTAGAGGTTAAATTTGTTTAGAGTAAATTTCAGAATTATGTCTATTAATTACGTTCATGCATTCATAAGTTGACTAATTTTTTAATGAATTCCTTTTTTGTCAGTTTTGATAGTTTAAATTTTCTTCCAGGTGGCCTAAAGTGGGTTATTCAATGTTATTGTTGTTTTTATGGGGTTCTTGGCTTTCTGGGTTTTTAATAACTTACCATTATGATTTGATAGCTGGTACTATGAGTTATATTGTTGACATTGAGCAAGTAACGAAATTCTCAGATAAGTAAGTGAAGGCTTCTTTTATTTTTTTAATCATTTTAATTCTGTTATTACATACAGTGGGGATCAAACGACATTTACAAAATTCGGTCATATTAATGTGACCACCACCTACTTTTGAATAAAACGTGGAATAACAAATCGCAGAAGGCAGGTGGAGGCAAATTGCAGTGGAGTGAATCGGAAAATAATACAATCGTTGACATAATGTTGAAATGGTGCGATTTATTTAACGCCTGAAAAGGGCGTGATCATTGGTTTTTGGGGTGGAAGCATTTCCGAAGCGGCTAATTTTTTGAACTCTTGCCATGCCCCCGTGGTAAAAGTATACAATGTATGACAAAAAGACACAAAACCAAATGTGCAGCGCACCATGGGCCATAGATGCACCATGGACCAAACTGGTGCACCATGGATCGGCGTAAGATATGCGTTCGGGAAAATACACGTGCAATAGTTGAGCAACTGGTTGCTCAGATGAACCAATGGGTCACTAACTGTGTCTTCTCAGCGATGGTTCAGCAAACAATGCTGCATATTGGCCTTCTTAGCAGACGCCTGGTTAATATACCTATGCTGACTGCTGTTCATCGGAAGGCTGGAATTTGAAATTTGAAGTACTGCAACTGGAGATCCACTGAGTTGCAATCGTTGGCTTTTTCCGATGAATGTATATATATATATATATATATATATATTTGTGGAGCAAGTGAGGAAAGAAAAAGACAATAGTTTTTAATAATTAAACTTGAACATTTAATAAAAAGAAAAATGAAATAAGTTTAACATCGATATCATGAACGGTGAGAGTTGTCTACAAGCAGCTTNCCCCTATGGTTGTTGGATCATTCCTACCATTTATCATTTCCAATCCAAATTTGTCTTTAAGGAAGGTTAATAATGTTTCATCTTCAGGTAACGAGAAATTCACATTAAAATCTCCTGCAAGGATCACAGCCCGCTCGCTGCCATGGTAGCGTTAAACGCTTAACGCAACCTTGTTGAAAGTCGCATTAGAAGTTTCACTTCAAAAAAGATTCAATTTTGAAAAACAAAACAACTATAAATTACAGCGCAAATACACGTGTTAGGTGGAATATTTGTTAGTTTTAATACCTGTTCATCTCATGATGAGTAAAGAGTTAATAACAAATGAAGATGTACCATGTTTGAGAAAAAGCTTTTAGATGATTGAGAACTAGAATTAAAATTACTTTTAAGCAATATTTCCTACACGTGTGTTAGGCTGGAGTATTTATTAATACTTCATCTCGGGGTACCATGGTAAGTAATGCGCTCTTAATATATTAAGTTGTGCCCTTGTCTACGAAAAAGCCTTTGAATAATAACGAACGAGAATTTTAAACCTATTTTGAGAGGTAACCAATTTTCGGATTATGAGATTCAATTCTTTTATAATTTTGCTACTTAATAATTTTTATATTTATTTTAGATGGATGGAATATTTCGATAAGATTTATATAAAACCTTATACCAGAATTGCACCATACTTAATTGGCATTGGTCTTGGTTACATTTTGTTTAAAAGAAAAGTTACAGACATTAAAGTAAATAGGGTGAGTACTATTATCTACTAGATGAATACCCGTTCTCAGAACTGTAGATAAAAGTCATTAATCTACAAATCAGCGTTATTCAAGCTATCAAATTATGTGCAAAGCTGAAAAATGTGTACCAAAGAAATTAAAATTTAAAATAACTTCGAATTCTTTAATTATTTTTATTTCTTTGCAGTTCCTGATGAACTTATGTTATTAGATTAAGTAAAAAGTGTATACAGAAGTTCGTCTTATCAAATAAAGAGCTCTATTCACTGTAATTTAACATCATTTTATTATTCGTGACAAACTCAAAATAGTCAAAATTTACAACAATCAAGTAATGTTTTTCAGAATTCATCCTTTCTGGGGTCCCAGAAAATCTATTTCGATACATATATAAGTATCTATTAAAGTAGCACCTATTATTATAATACCTGTAGTACTAACTTCAAAAATTTATTCAGCATCATTGGTATCGATAAAAGTTGGGCGATTTTTTGCAGTTTTTCGAAACGAACCTATTCATTAATTTAGAGTTTTAGTACATAACTTATTTATTTGATATACAATTGTTTTTAATTATTTAGTTTGATAGAAACATTTTTCAAAGACACAACTTTAACACGCGTTTTCACATAATTTTTTTTAATTTTTTTATTTCCAATGAGTTGCACAATCGGTCTTGCCGATGAGCAGACCTAGTGCGTTCTCCAGAGCTGGTATCCACTCTTTCAGGACCACCACAATGGGTGAGATACCGTTGGTTGGTCATGTAAATTTGGACGTCTAGTTTCTGCCACACTAGATGGCAGCACCGAGACTCTATTCAGATGCTAAAGTGCACTAGGAATCTTCACATAATTTTAGAATTCCTAATTTAGTGACGTAACTAAGTAACTCTCACACGTCATCCATATTTATCGTGAAAAACATGTCTTATCGAATGTAAAAAAAATTAAACATCAAACAATGTACAATAAACTCTTTTTTAGATCGAATAAAGATGCAATCCTGCAAAAATCGCTGTTATTATCTTTTAAATAATACTGTTATATAGAAATAATTACTGTAAATGATAAAAATAATTACTGTTCATCAGGTTGCATTATAAAACATTTTTCTGAATTTCTAAGAAACAGTTTATAAAATTCAGATGTTCGTAATGTAGTATGAATATTACTTACCGGTTTCGAAGAAAAATTAAAAAAAAAAAGATAAAATTTTGATGGCATTATCGTGATCACTGGTCACCCATTGGTCGAATGTTTTTTTTCCTGGATAGACTTTCATAAACATCACAACACTTCTAGTCGCAGATTTCAAAAACTGCATCAATTGATGTTTGCCCTACTGTCATCAATAGGGCTGGATTGATTTTCCATTTCTGCCAATATACGTTTCTTGAAGAAGCCGCGAAATTCTTTTCTTTCTTCAGTGTTCATGTTTATTTTGAAATAACCACCAAAACAGTAATTACTAATAAGTTAATCATAACACATAAATAATTTAGGAGTAATAAATAATAAAAACATCAAAAACGCACGCTGGTGGAATTTAAAAAAAAAAGACTCTGTCTGGAAAATAATCAACTTCAAGAAGTTCCAAAATTACCGGCTGTTTTTTTATTGAGCTTGTTGTACTACTCTTTATTAATGCTTTTGTTAGCCTGATATTTTAAGATTCAATTCTGAACGAGTCTTTATTCCTAATTGGGTATAATATGAAAAAAACACAACTACTTCGATTTAGTAGGAATAACATATGACGCAATGCTAAACGAATGGAATTTAGTTGTTGTTTATTTAGTTATTGTTATTAGTAGTTGTTGTTATTTGATTTAGTTGTTGTTGTTTATTTAGTTGTATTTAGTTTCAATAACTTTTCTTTATAATGCAATAAAATCTGGCGAGCAGCTATTTAAACGATCGAACACTTCGTTTGTTTATTTGTGGCTTGAAGTTAGGCTCGCAGAAAATGCCGTTCATGGGTTAAATTTAGTAGGAACAACACAACCTGTGACGTAGGCTATATTATACCCAATTAAGGTATTGAAGCTGATATAGTTTAAAAGGGTGCGAACATGAAATGCCTAAAACTACACCCATGCTCCCAAGTAGCAAAAAAAAAGTCTTCGGCAGTTTAGTTCATAACAATGGTTAATGTTAAACCAATCATAAGAAGACTAATTTTAATGATTTTTAATAATTTTTTAAAATCCTAATTCTAGCCCTGCACTACCTAGTTTAATTTTTTCAATACTTTTTAGGATCGAAGATTGACATTCCCTCTACTTTTTGCCTGAATTTATTTTAGAAAATCAAATTTTGGTTTCGAGTAATTTTTGAAAATTAAATAACAAAAAAATATTAAAGAGAAAACGAGGAACGAATGGAAGAAATTACAAGATTAAAACTGTTAACTGAATTAATAAGAAAGTTTAATTTTTAAATTTTTTTTTAACTAGCAAACTGTGTGGATATTGATTAAACTGGGAAAATTTTTCTTTTGCTTTCGGTTATATGACTTTTTTTTTCCAAACAAATCTTGGATAATTTTACGTCGTTAACTTCAAATTTGCTATCGGTTTTTCCTATCGGTATAAATGCAGCAAGAAATTTGTTCCCTAGTGTTATATTTTTAAGAAAATCGGGACGCTTTGCATGGCAATTGTTACACCCAAAGAATTTTATAATACAGAGCGAGAATAAAGCATGACAATGCCGAAGCAAATTATCGCCTTATCGGTGTAAAAATTTATTTTTGAATTAGAGTATCAGCCAATTATTGAAACTTTGAAATAAATCAGTGAGTGAGAATCAGAAAAAAATTTCGAATTCCGTGGAATGGTATTTGTGGAAACCGCATTTGATGTCTATTATATTTTATTTAATGGATTATGCATTTATTTTTAGGTTACTTTGTGGATTGGTTGGTTACTGGCCATTCCAGTTGGATTATACTGTGTCTACGGTCTTTATCACCAAACTCCAAATCTTGTGGCTGCTAGTTTTTTTAATGCCCTCACTCGTACTGGTTATGGGCTGAGTTTGAGCTGGCTGATATTCGTCTGTATATCAGGACAAGCGGGTATGATTTTAGCTCAAATGATCTCTCTGTCTCTCTTTATATATATATATATATATATATATATAT